AGGAATTTCCACTATAGGCCTATAAGCAAAAAAACATGGTTTCAACTCCAGTCAAGGAGTTATTCCTTGATCTTTAAGTCGGTTGTCGAAAGCAGGGAGCTGACTTCATGGTAGATTGCCCCAGTATAAGCTATTTCGAGGAACAGAGGTATGCGGAAATGCTGCTGACTTCCACAATGTCATTCTTTTTCTTTCTTGCTTGTGCTTCCGCCAACCCAGTACTGTTTTACAGCAACCAATATCTTCTCGGGAATGAGGGGGCCATCTTCGTGATCCACCAGCTTAGTGTCCCATCTCATGCCACTAACGGTCTTCTTTACCCTCAACAGGACATCAACGTCATCACGGAAAATGACTGCACCCTCTGGACGCAAAATTCGGTCCATCTCTAGAAGAATGTCTTCCATTTTGCATCTGTCATTGCGCATAAACATATAAGACATACCAGTAGATTGATGCACAGCATGCAACTGTGATATATAAACTTAGTTTTGGCTCATTGATACACCCAGCTGTGTGTTTGTGTAAATCATGAAGTGATTACATGGGGAATAAAAACCTTACTAAGCCTACTTGTTCTTTGTAAATTATCATATTATTACATAGTAAAAAGAAACCTTACTAAGCTTACTTGTTCTGGTACAAGCTGAAAACACCATTGGCATGTATGAGATCATACGTCCTTGGGTAAGTCGAAAAAGCTTCACACCTACATCAAGTAGAAAAAGTTCAATATTGAAGACAGAACACTTCATGATAGGGGGGGGTCAAGGAATAAATTGCTAAATAAAGAAGAAAGAACTTAGGAAAGATAATTAAATTATGCTCAAGATAATTAAATAATTGGAGATGAAACGGCATGCTTTGAATAGGCACATTTAATATAAGCACCATACATTCCCAAAGATACATGTTAAACAGTTAAAGGACTTCTAGATCTCCAGTCCACCAAGGAAACGTGCAGTTGCCTTGAATTATATTTATCTAAGCATAAAGTTGATTTCTGCTGGTGAAAAGAAACATCGATCATGACTTGGATGATAAGAGTAATGTTGTAACAGCCAACAAGAAGAAGGTACAATATTCGACCTAAGTTCAGCTAACGATTCAAAATATTAGGATGACTTTAGGTAAACATGTGATAAATCAATGAAACAAGCAAGCATGAGAAACAAAACCAATATTGCAAAATTAGCTACTTGACTGTAAGTCATCAATAAGGATATAAAGTTTTTGGATAGTTGTGGAGTCATAAATGGTATATGCATAAATTTCTCAGTTCAAGTTGACAGCAATAATAAATTTCTCAGTCTTGTTTCTTTAAGCATTCAAATCCCCAATAAGAAAGCATTAAGCAAATACATACCAGTCATGGTATATGCCGATTAACCCACGTTCATATATAACACCTAATGTGGATATATCAGCAATTGTAGGAACAACATTCATCACCCATAATTTTGGAGACTCAATTGCTGCTGCAAAGCTACCCAATCCTGCATTCATATCCATTATGTTGCGGTACCTTCCAGTGTCAAGTAACTTGTTGATTTTCTTATAAGCTTTAACATGCTTTTGCCACTGTTTGATGTCTTCTTGATAAGAATTGACTGAGATGTCTGGTACAGAACCACTGGTTATTCTAGGTGGAATAGCATTTAACCTCTCAGGGAAAGGCTTCAATTCACCTCCAGCAGACTCTTCCGGACTATTAACCTCAGGATATTGATTTATGCAAGGTTCCATCTTCTTGTACCTAAGATTATCAAAATGTGGTGAGACTACAGGAGGAATAAACACATATATAGACAAATAAAGTCAACTTGAAGAAACATCATAATATCTTGAAAATTTACAATCCCATTTCACTGGAGCTGCAAACATAAATGCATTTACTCTTTAAGACCAATCCCCTTAGACTAAAAGAGAAGCTATACAAAACTAATTAAAAACAAAACTTTGGTTTGCGGACTGGTATATTGGATGGTTGAGAAACAATCTATACAAAAAAGTTAGCGTAACTTGGATAGAAATATTACGACCAAAGTTACTAGAATAAAAAGAATAAAAAAAAAATTTCATCCAATAACAATTAGTGGCCACCATGATAAAGGATAAAATGTGACATACCGTCTACAATTATATGAATATGCTCGTAGGAGACTTACAAATGTTGGAGTTTGATGATCTCTTAGAATTACTAGTACAAGAACGGATAAAGAGAGACCTAAAAAGACTAATACTAAAAAATAACAAAAGGAGACTTAAATTTTCTCGATTTAATTATTTATTGCATTACCTATAGCTAAAAGATGGGAAAAAAATCCATGTAATACCCCAGATAGTTGGAACATTATGGCTTATTTTCGTTGTTGCAACCCTTGAGAGCAGTCTTTATATCAAGAAAAGTAATACACAGAGTGAGATGTCTTTTATGGCTTCATTTATGGGGATCTAAAGTTTAAACCATTACTCTTTACACAAAATAAATGAACTAAAAGCCCATTTGGCATATGGTTCACATTTGACAACATGAACAGAAATTAAGAAGATTCATTTTCATATCCATGTCTAGCTGAAGTTAGACTGTTCACATTACTAACAAGAGGAGCAAAAGGGAAAAAAAAAAAGAGGATAAAATGTACAAACAATTCAAGTGTTCGTATATAAAATATTGCTATTATAGTAATTTTACTTGTAGCTCCTAACCAGCTTACTGAGGAGATCAAAATACAAGTTTCAGAGGAAATCACCACTTCTATAAAATCCCTTCATAACTGCAGCCAACGCAAAACTTCAAGATCTGCATTTATCGTACAATTGCAATAGTGAGAGAAGAAACAAAACTTACCAGACATCATCTGGATTTGCTGATTCACATATATTTATGCGGGTTTCATCTTGCCTTCTTGGGCACAATTCGGCATTTATTCTCTTCCTCCAAATGGCAATTTCAGCCTTCTCAGAAACCTTTTCCCAGCAAAGAAGTTCAGCAATTTCCTCAATCTTCCTTTGTTCCTCCTTCAAATCCTCCTTGGTACGCTGCCATGCCTGATAGTTATTCTTCCAGTTGATTGGAGGGCCTGAAAGTACCCAATAACCGCCTGGCCTGAGCACTCGATCCACCTCCATCATGTAAATTCCATCTGAAGAAAGAAAATACAGAAAGAAAAACATGTGAGAAACATGACAGAATCAAACAGACAATGGAGCTTCCGCGAAGAACAAACAAATGAACTAGATAAATAGAAAGAAGGAAGACTACTACATATTAGCTCTCACCATTTGCACCCCATGGAATCAAGCATCTTGAACAATGAGCCATATCAAAGGATCTAGATGAGTATGGAAGCTTTATTGATCCAAGAACGCCAATAACAGCAGGAACTCCACGTTCTAGTGCAAACTGCACCTGTGCCTCATGAGAGTCTCTTGGTGCAAATGACATGGCTAATACATTCTTTTTCAACAAATATGCACCCCAACTTGCCACCTATTATTAATGAATAACAAAGTCACCATTATAGCAATGGCTAAAATTTCAAAATTACATATCTTAAGGAACAAATATTTTTATCAAGACAAAATGACAAAGATAAGCCGAGAGCAGAAATGTAAAGATAGATGATGCATACCCCACAACCAGTGTCTAGTGCAGTTCGGACAGTCCCATTATCAATTGGAATAACAGAGGCAAGTTGGTCAATATATTTATCTGCGCCCTGAGGGAACTGCGTCCCTCCACCAGGAAATCTGAATACATTGCCCTCATATTGAACCCAGTTCTGAACAGCCTTCTCAACTGTCAAGCTCTTGTAAGGGACATTGGCATAGGGAACATAATCACGGCTCTTAGGCCAGGGAAAAGGTGCCACATACCCCTTAGGTGCTGGTATAAGACAATACAATTTCTCCTCATCGGGTGGGCAATGCCTCTCTCTGTAAATCATGTTCTCTCGAGGAAAGGTCATTGCCCGCCCTTGGTCCTGGCAAGGAGTGTAATCGGTATATGTGTCACCACATGGCTTGAATGTTTTGGCTTCTGAATCGCCAATATCCTTCAGGCTGCCTGATCCACCATGATGGGTCTCAAAATTTAGATTGGGTGAGTTTGTGCACTCTGTCTGCTTAGTAACCTGTAGTGCAATACTGTCACCCTTGCCAAAGCCACTCTTCTGCCATGCACCTAAAATATAGAAGAAGCAGCAGAGACCAACCACAATAATTATGGATAATGAGCTTCTAGTCCTTCCCTCGCCTGAATTCGACTTTATGGCCATGGTGTTTCCCCGAGAGATGTCCTAAGAATTAATCAAATCCCAGCAGAACAATCAACTCCAATTAAGTTCTTTACCAGAAATATAGACAGATCCAGATCACAGCAAAAAATATGTATTAATTCCCAGAAAAAAAAAACAAGTGAAAAAAATGTGTTGTTTGTTTGAGCTAAGAAAATCAAATTATTATCAAGGAAGAGCTAACATCATACTAATGGCACTTGAACTCTCTAGATTAACCTATAACTAGCAACTAGTATCTGAAATCCTGCATCTCAAAATGCGTCTTTTCTCTACTAATAGTGACTCATTTCGCTAAATATTATCCTTTTTACTGAAAGAGCAAAGGCACATACAAATCCCGAACGGGAACCATCAGCTCAAAAAGCATAAACAAGATTCTACATTTTAAAAGAGAATCCATATTTAAGATGGCTCATTTAAGGCAAAATCTCAAAACTTAGTAACTTCCAAGCAATCCAAGCGCTAAGGTAGTGTTGCTCTTAAAGTGATTCTGGAATTCCAGATCACTACAAACCCGCTAGTTACCACCTTTCTCCCCAACTAAGCCACACCAAATCTCTCTCCTGAACTGCTCAAATCGATGGATAAAAGGAAAACAGAACAACTCAGGAAAAAGTAACACAAACTGGAGGAGGCTGAGATGAACATGCAGGTGGAGATTGCACCGTCGTCTTACCGGTTCAAAGGGCAACAAAAGAAGAGGATCTGGGATCGGCCGCGAGAGAGGGAGGGAGGGAGAGCCCTAAGAAGCCTCCTTATCCGCCACCATTTCCTCGACCGAAACGGACTTGCGGGATTCGAACAATTCCGCTTCTTGGAGTCGAGTTTCGACCACTGAGGACGATTAAATGCCCCATCCATGCCCATGTCGCCGACATGCGTCGTCGTCCTCGGTCAGCCTTTGGATGCGCCCTTTCCCCGCTGTCTCCCACTGCATCACCTCTACGTCTGCAGAGCAACTTTATGCGAATGATCGATCACCGTGATCAACCAGATAACGACCATGAGATTAAAAATGGACGGCGGATCGTCGTACGTTCAATTTTATTTATGCGACCGTACGTGGGGACGGTGTGCACAATAAGATCTTTGCACGTGCTTTATTTGGTAACAAAGCATGGTAGTCCGGTCACGGAGTGGGGTTGCAGCGCCTGTGTCGGATCAGCTGTTTCGGTTCAGAGACGGTAGGAGTTTCGATCGGGTGATCCGGCAATAGAACATCGAAACGTCTTGCTCTATGCTGTTTAGTGTCCGATGTGAAACAGTTCATCCAGGGAAAAGTGTCTCCGAGGGGATTCCCTGCCTATCTGGCGTGATCGGATAAAGGTTTCTGAGCAAAGAATAGGATGAAAATCCAACCATTACCTGCCACGTAGGAAGTCTGAGGCCTCCCAACCGTACGATTTACCGTGGGAAACGCGCCCACGCAGGATGTTGGTCGTTGGGGGATTAGCTGATCCCTTCCGGCACGAGTGAACCGGACGGAACCGATCGTTCCGTGACGCGTGGTGCTTCACTACCCGTGGGCAACGGATTGCGCAGGGGATGGAGGTCGAGTTACCGGCGGTGAAGGCAACGAACTGGTGGGAGTGCACCCACTATGGTGGACTCCCCACCGCCACCACCACCGCCACTACGACCATCGACGTATTCAATGAGTTGTCACAGTGAGCACTAAATGCGTGTGGATCTGATGTCGGTTCATCCGCACTACTGTTTCTCTCCATTAACAGTAACATGAATCAAAACCAAGGTCAAATCCTACGTCCAAGACACTGGAGAGGCAAATGCAGAACCTCTGTACAACACAATCTCATACGTCAAGACCAGAAGAGGAGACAAGACAAGCAGCGGAAGAGGATGAAGAGGAAAAGGTGGGCAGTGACAAAGTGTGTTCTTGCTTCACCAGTGAAGCTTCTTTGGATTCAGCTCTTTGTTGTGGATGGGATCCGGTCCTCTTCGCACTCTTCTTTTGCTCATCTGAGCGCCGACGAGCCGCTTCTTGGTGCCCCGGTCCGCGACGTGATGGCCTCTGGCCACCTGCGGCTTCTTGGCTGCTGTCCAACGCGGTGTGCCGAGTCCATAGACCAGCTCCGCTTCACTGGCCAGAAGGCCGATGTAAAGGAGGAGGAGGAGGACGACGAAGAGCTTGCAGGTATAAGATGACATTGCTCGCGGAGGATCAGCAATGGCAACAACGAAGTGACTCCGTTGCTTTCCTGTTCTTATCTTCTCTCTCTCACTCTCTCTCCATGGCTTATCACTGTTTGGATTTGGTTATAAAGGGAAAAAGCTCGGCCTCTCAGGGGTCCCAGAACACAGGGGAAAGAAATCCACAGATCCACCTCGATCATACTGCAGCAGTCCAATAAGGCTGGTTTAGAAGCTTCTGATATGACTGATGGAGAGGTGGAATGTTGGCCTTGGGAAGCTGCCTTGCTTTATTCCATTCTGCAATCTTCTTCCACTTTAACAGCTTCCCTTAACAATTAAAGAAAGCTCACTGCACTCTGTTTGAGATCACATCTCTCTATGTGAATTCTCTCCTTTCTGAATCTACATGCCAAGCAGCACAATTGCATGAAGTGGGCGGGATCTGAAGCACCACTCATGAACTTATAGAAAGGGAAATGAGTGGGAATTCATGGAGATTTTGGACTGGTCATGGTCCAAGCTACTAAGCGAGCCAAAGCTTGCCATGGATCTACTTTGTACTAAAGCAAAAGAGCAGCAACAGTGTCTTCGGCTTTATAAAGTGGTTTTCCTACTGCCTTAAGCCATATTTTCTATCACAAATCACATATCAACTGCATTTAGCAGGAGATTTGTCGTTGTTGAATTCAAATAGGTGTCATGATAAGTTTTTGAGTGTTTTTATTTTTCTGAGGAATTGTTCTTGGAAATGATCTTCCATCAGCAAAAGATTTATAGCTCAGCAAGCAAATAGATACACACCCATTTTCTTATCACAGTCACCCTTTTGCACTGTTGGGATGTTCATCCCAGGTGATCATTATAGGTATGCATGTGTTGATTATGCAGGGATCTGCTTTCTCAGACAATATGGTAGCAAGACAGATGGAGGGTTTCAAGCAAGAGGAGCCCACAGGGTTGTGGTTGCTGAGAAAAAAAAGAGCAAAGGAAAGAGAAGAACAAAGGGTGAATTGCCATGGTTTTTGAAGCTCAAAGTACTTATTAGTTGTACTACTCAAGAGCTAATTTAGAGAGTGATGTGACTCTTGATGCTTAGGACAAGGCTTGCATATGCTTGAAGACTAGTTTAGTGACATGGTGGCACACACCAGCTGCTCTTGATAAAATGTATGGCAACCAAAGTTAACATCTATAAATATCATGATGGAGATAAAAAGAACCAGTGAGAAGAGATATCAGAAAAGGGTGAACCCAAAGTTTATCAGTTTGAGTGGAAGACTTAATAATCATTCTTCCACCATCATGATGTATGCTGCGTTTTTGTAGTAAACAAGCTATTTTATCTCTTAACTAATATTTCTATCTAATTTGGAAAATTTTACAGCTCGTGAACACAGTGGATCAATCTAATCAGGGAAGAATATAGAGAAGATTTTAATCAGCTTGCATAGCAGAAACAGTCAAATGAATCTGCCACAATGAGAGCATTCAAATCAAAAACATACCAGTGTTTCTTTAACTCCATTGGGCTTTTTATCTTCTCCATCTTTGCAAGATTACACCTCGCATAAACTGGATTACAAATGTTAGGCATTAACTGCACAAGAATCTTTCACCCAAGGATCTCTCAATATGAAAATAATCCTTCTTTGTAGGCTAACACAGATGACCACAGCATAGATTATGAACAAAGAACTGACGGCAAACATTTTGATGAATTCTTTGCGAGTAATATTGGCACTCCTACGAAATCATCACTACAAGGAACTTTTAGGTCACATGGCACACATCTAGATGAATTCTTTGCAAGTAATACTGGAACTCTTTCCACCAAATCATCACTACAAGGAGCTTTTAGGTCACATCCAGCATGACAAGAGATACAAAATACAAACATTGTGGACCATGCAGGGCAACAGAACCTACCCCATCTGTCACCAATGTAGAGGTGGCCTGATAACCTGCAGTCACTTCTTTTCAGCACATGAAACAAAATCCAAACTCTATGGAAAGTAGAACAAAGATGTCCAGCAGTTCCCTTTGACCCCAACTAGCTCAGATGCTTCACCGCATAGTTGATGTTTAGAACATCAAAAGGAGGGAAACTACTCCTGTGGTTCTTGCTGTGGAGTAGTAGGTGATTCAGGTGCAATTGTGAAATGCAGGCCCCTACCCTGTCCAGTTTGCAATATGAATGCCACTTCAGTTGCCGCTAACGCTGCTGCTTCCTGGTCCAAAACAAGAAATGGGTCAGACAAAACACAAGGATATACAATATAGGTACTAAATGATAAACAATCCCACATAGATATTGGACATACATTTTCTGAAGCATGTAAAGAAACTAGTACACCTTAGAGTAACAAAATAAAACCTTAATTTGCATTGGTATGATAATCATTTTTTGTGCTTTTGTTTGCCTCTGTAGCTATTAATCATTAGAACTCAAATTGTCATTCTAGTGCTAAGCCTAACATTGCCATGGTTCAATTTGTATAACCCATTCTTTTCATTATAATTGGTTATACAAATTGTATAGAAGTCAAGAGTAGTTGACTTTTCATTATAATGGGTTATACAATTTGTATAACCCATTCTAATGGCTTTTCATGAAGAGCACCAATATTATCTGGGCAAGGATACCTGGGACACAGCCTGACATGGCCAACAGTGCATCCCTGTGAAAAGACATGAAAAAGGAAAATAATGTGCTAAAACAGAAAACAGCAAGTATGAGGTATGCAAGTAATCAGCACAAGTTGATCTGGCAAACATGTCATGCCATGTCAGCAATCAGCACCATGTTTGGACAGGTAGACCAACCTGGATGGTTCAGAGTGCATAGTAAAGTCAACACTTAATTCAGAAACCTTAATATTTTGACAGCTTCAGTTGTGTCTGGAATCAAGTATTGCACCCTTTAAAAACCAAGTGAAACAAACCTAACAATACGATGTAATAGGAACAAAAAAGAATCGAGATATGTACCCGAGATAGAACCAAAACATTATCGATCAACTAATACCTTTATCTTATTCAGCCACTTAAGTCATTCGGAACAAAAAGAGAAAAGAATATAATAAATAAACAATAAAATAGAAACAGCATATTAAGCAAACAAAAAGAGAATTTTGTTAAAACAAAATTATTGAAAACCAAAATTGATCAAGGTTGCATATTCTAGCAGTCTACATAAAGAAAGTGGAACAACAAAATATAGAAAGATAAAAATAATTATGCTTACATAATCTCTCAACATCTTCTGTGAAAGGTTGTAATGAAAATAATTTGATATCCAATAAGTTAATCAGAAAGAATGAATAAAACAGGAAGCAAAATATACTATAAGCAGATCAATGTCAATTTATCATAATCACCTATAAGTTTGAAGCTCTGAAACAATAGTTCAATTATACAAATAATGTTGAACTAGGTAAACGAAATTCAGCTAATCCAAAACTTAATTTAAGGCTTTTGATATGCAAAAAACTAATTTGCAACAAGAATAAGCAACCCATCGAAACAATAAACTGCATACATGAGAAGTAATTCATTGTATTTGCAACTTGTGAGGACTATGCAGCACTGAAGTGTTTTTATCATGGATAGCTACCGTTAAACATAAGGGCATATCTGTTTCAACAAAGTCAATGCTAAAGATATCATTTTAGTGGTATTGGATGATAGACATTGAACACAATAAGTTACTTAATTCTTTTTTGAACCTATTTTAAGCTGTCTCCAAACCTGCAACTACTAC